TTATTATATTCAAATTCAAATGAGATTGGATTATAGAGAATTGAGGAAATCTTAAAAACTACTTAAATTCTTAACTATCATATGAATTTGTGTAATTAATTTTAATATTGTAGATTTAAAAATATTGCCTTTCAACGCACTTTGAAAACAAAATGCATCGAATTGGATTTTTAATTCTATAAGAATATTTAATTTTAAATATTTTATTTATACTTATGTTTTTTAGTATTTTTATTGACTATTTAATTTGGGATAAGATATTTTATTTATTCACTATTAAAGTTTTATTAACATATATCTCATCTCACAAGTTTATATAAACTCATACTTCTCACAATCTTAATTAGAATAAGTAGTACTCCCTCCGTTCAAAAATTTAAGGTATTTTTTGAGGAGTTAGATATTCAAAAATGTAATGCATCTTTAGTCTTTTGAGATATAATTATTACCTTTTTTTAAAAGTGTCCCTATTGATAAATGACTTTATATTTATTGTAGGGTGTATAATAAGGATAAATATAAAAAGATAAAATTATTTTAAAAGTAGGTAATTACTTGATTGGGAGTAAGATTCAGTTAAAAATGCATTACATTTTTGAACGAAGGAGTAACTAATACCATTTATTTATAATTAAGATAATATTTACATGAAAGGAAATTTGAATTAAAAATGGCAATTTTATCTAATCACTGTTTATTTTTTTTAATAGCACTAGCTTAAAATTCAAAATTTAAATCTAAAATCTTTTTTATTTTTTTTGGATGAAACCTAAGGCTTTTTATTATTAAGTATGTTATGCTGGTAATCCAAAATTATTGAATATATTGACTGATACTATTAATATATCCTACTCAAATTACAAACTTATCAAAATTTCAAGTACTTTTAGAAGATATAATTAATTTGATGAAATCATTTTACCTAAGATACATGATTTTGATAATTTTTTATACCTTTAACTTATCTTGGTTACACATTTGAATATTATGTTGGCAAAAAAAATACATTTTTCAATATTAAATTTCAATATTTATCAATCTTAAATCCAGCATAAATAATAATTAGATTTTTCAAGATAATAAAAAACATATGATATTTTTGGAATAAGAAAATTAATTTATTATAAAATAATAAGTTGCCATCCAAACCAATCAAATACAATTAGATTCTATGATTAAAAAATTTATCAAAAAATAGTTCTATTTGAAAATTGTACATTGTTAGCTCTAAAGAGAATTATACAAATAAAAAATTAATATCTTAACAAAAATCTTAATTGATTACATGTTTTACTTAGATTTTAATCTTAATCTTTTTAACATCTTAATCGGTTATAATTATGTAAAAAAATTTTAGATTGATATATTTTGATATTATTAATATTTTAAGTAATTACAATAAATCAAAACAAAATACCTGAAGTACAGTTTTTTAGTGCCGTTGAACTCACTAATCTTAAATCACTAGACATGATAATAATTAATTTTTTTATTATCTTCTCCATCAAGTTTAGTATATCATTTGTAAAGGTCCTTATAGAGGACAACTTATCTTATTTTTCTTATAATGATAGAACAATATCAAAACGTAAAAAAATAAGGTTTCAAAAATATTAATTAATAAAATTTGTGTCATATCATTTTGCATCTTCTATGCTTATTTTTATTTGTTTTTTTATCCTTTTAATGGGCTCCTCCAACTCTCCAATTTCAGATAATCTTCCATTCACATCTATAAAAAAAAAAGTAGACCATTTAAAATTGAGATAAATAAGAATAGATTATTTAAACTTGTTATATTCAATAATTACTTTAATGACTAAAGTAATTATTAAATAGAATTGTCTAATAAAATAGTTGATTACTTTATTATATTTGATAGGTGATTCGTATGTATTAAATAAACACTTTACTATTTTCAAAAACTTATTATATTAAATAAAATTGTTATTACTTCATTTTATAATAATCCTAAACTGATATCATATATTAAATAAGATATTTGAGAACTCGTAATATAAAATAATATTGTTTAATATATGTACAAAAATCTTTATATATTAACTAATATTAGATAATTCATAATTAAAGTTTTCAAAAAGATAAGAAAAAACTAAAATAAGATATTATCTTAACATGCTAAATGGATTTTTTGAAGGACAAATTCAAAAAATTTGAATATATACCAACTAAGTAATTATCATTTGTTGCCTCTCTATCTGCAATATATGGGATATTAAAAAAATTGAACTCAAAATGATAGATGGAACCCGTCTCAAGATGTAGTTTTACAATAGTAGAAAATATAAAGCTAATTTTGTAAGGATGATCTTGTGTCCAATACAATTGGAAGCATTGGGAAACCTTGAATTTTGAAATTTCATATATTTTAAAGGGATACATCTTATCTTCAAAACGTCTCACAAAAAGTTTTTAAATGACTACAGAGATTTGATCACCTTATAACAACATTGTCCCATAGCTAGGATAAGTATTATATATTGAACATAATTGATGAGATGCAAATTATAAAAAAAATATAAAAGATATAAACACTTACTTCGGCATCATGAAAGACTAATTCAATACCGTTGGATTATTTGGATGTATACTTCCACTTGTCAAATATCCAAATATGAATCACCCTGACCACAATGAGCCACTTCTTTTTCGTTGTGTTGATGGCGTGAATAGCATGGATCTCATATATAGGAGCCATGGATAGTATAAAAAATAGTTGAGAGGAAAATGAACTTAATGTGATTAATTAGAGGAGTGAGTCGAATGTAAAGGTGTAAAATTTATTATTAACCTAACTAAGTAATTTATAATTGAATAAGGCTAACTTGGGAGGAAAAATTAAGAGGTGATTTTTTTTAAAAATTCAAGATGATAGATATTAAATATTTACTTTTATGAGTATAGATATTTAAGAAATAATTTGAATTTTACCAAACTTAATATATGAATTTAACATAATAAGATCCAAATTATAAATATATGAATTTAACATATGGAACAACTTGGTTGCACAAGCCAACTTATATAAATATGGAAAAAATTAATATATGAATTTAACACAATGAGATAAATAATTAAATAGCTTAATATCTATACTTTATCATATTTATAAATTTTGAAGTTCAAGATGATAAATTTAAATAGTAAAACACATATTGCTTTTTTTTTTTTCTAAATATTTAAACAGATATATATTAATTTAAATTTGAATCTTAATATATATATCTCTATATATATACTCAAAATTATAAACCTAGATTTTCACCATATATTAAGGTTAGATATATTTATTAAATAGATAGATATTAAATTAAATTTAAATATAATCAGATTTGAATTTCAAATATGTAAAAATAAATTTTTATATACATATAAAAATTAATGATTCATCTCGTACTTAACTACAAAATTAAATAATATATTTTATATTTCTTAAAAAATAATAAACATCCCGAACCTAACCTTAAACTTGACTCTGAAGCACATAATTTCATGAAAAGTATCTCAAAGTATAGAATTATAACAAATCTAAAAATAAATACATGATATTCTCTTATAACCTTAAATTCTACTTTTATATATATAATGATTTGTAGTAACTTTTTATGTTATTTTGATTATTTGCATAATGAAAATATAATTTTTATATTAAAGTTGTCATGTCATTTATCTTTGACATTATGATCATTTCATTAATTTTTTAAAATAAAAAACATTCACTAATAGCTTGAGTTTGGATTACTAACAAGATTATATCCACAACCTCCTACTTATAGAAAAATCAGCATGACAATAGGTTACAAAACTATTGGTGTTTTCTGAAAAAAAATAAAAATAAAATTAAGATGATAAGATTGTAAGAACTTTAATATAATCACCTTATTTTATGATCCTCTTTTATCCTTTTCCCTTTTGGGTTAAATTTATTTATTTTTATCTGTGATTGTTAATGTTGGATGTCTGGCAAATGCCACACTTGCTCTAGTGTGATGGAACCTTTGAATTTTTAAATTTATGGATTGCCTTTATGTTATCAAGGCTTGCACGCTGTTTGTTCAAAACAAAAACAAAAAAAAGAAAAAAAGAAAAAGCCCTGCACACTGTTGTATCCATTTCTTATGCACACAATGTCTAAAATGAGTTTTCCCTTATTTAATTTTTAAATTTAAAATTTTCTTCCTCTTATTTTTTTAATTATCTCATTCACGCTTCAACTATTTTCTACTTCAAATTTCAAATTAATCACTTGATCTATACACATATCAATATAATCAATCAATATATTATATAAAAATAAAATAAATAATTACTATTATCATTATTCTATATTTATTTATGTGCCAATTAATTTATTTTTTATTTTAAATAATTAATGTACTTTTTAATTTTTATGTAACTTTAGAAAATTCTGTATCTTTTTGCCCATGCACGGATGCACCACATCAAAGCTACTCCTATATATATATATATATATATATATAGATCATCAATATATAGATATATAAGGAAAAATGCATATTTAATAATCTGATGTCTAATTTTATATAATATTTTAATTTCAATCCCTTAATTTTATAAAATATATTTTTAATATTCTAACATTAACATTACTGGTATCAAATAATTATTTTTTTTTCCAAATATTATTTTAAAAAACAAACTTAAAATATTAACATTGGACAATGTCTTATTAACATATAAAAATTCCATGTCAATTTTTTTTATTAATGAAGCTAATGATAATAAAATTACATTACTAAAAAAATACTTCATAAAATTAGAATTAGAAGATCATTCGCCAAAAAAAATTGGAAGATCAAAATCAAACTTCATGTAAAATTTAAAGATGAAGATACACCTCCTCCATAATTAATTAATAATAATAAAAAACAAACAGTGGCAGGTCAGTAATTACGTGCAAGTACACGAGCAATTGCTTAATGTGATGAAAATATATAGTGTAGAACCGGGATGCTCTTCATGCTTCGTGAAAGTTCTGCATTGGCCCCCACAAACCCTAGCCTAATCTTATATTCCCTTCTTTCACCCTCACGGTCCTCTGCGCTCGAAGCTTCAACAATGTCTCACTTTGGAAGGTCGGGTCCTCCAGACATCACTGACACCTATTCGCTTCTAGTGCTCAATATCACATTCCGTAAGCTCCATCTTTTTCTCTCCTTTGTGTTTCTGCGCCTCGTTCGTTCTCGCTTTGATCAGTGTGTTGTGAAAATCTTTATTTTTAATCTTTCCCTGTTTTCTATGATCAGGTACAACCGCAGATGATCTGTTTCCCCTGTTCGATAAGTACGGCAAGGTCGTCGACATCTTTATTCCCAGAGATCGAAGGTACTTCTTTTTCTTGAATACCGACTCGGACGCTGACTCTTAATTATCTAGAAAACATGCACATCATTACGAAGCTTCCAAGTTCTTCTATTTAACATGGTTTCGTTGACAGACACCTGCTGTGTATTTGTTCTCGTGTTTGGGTGCTCCTGGGAGAGTGATATATGAATTTCTTTATTCAGAAGCTTTTATTTTTTTCCCTTTTCAATTGCTTCTTGGTGGCAATAATTGTTTATGGCGTGTTAGTGAATCTTTGAACTTCTTTCGGTTATAATATCTTTCATTCTTATGTTGTTGTGGTCTCACTTGTTGTAAAGTAGTGATAGCAATAGTGCGAATGTTAATTTCGAAGAATTTTGATTTTCTTTTAAATTTTACTGTGGTGAAGGACCGGTGAATCAAGGGGTTTTGCATTCGTGCGTTATAAGTATGCTGATGAGGCACAAAAGGCTGTGGATAGGCTGGACGGTATAGATCTTTCTGATTAAGATTTCTATATGTTTTTTTTTTCATTAATGCAAAATATAAATTTTCGACATTTTTATGTGCAGGAAGAGTGGTTGATGGCCGGGAGATAACTGTTCAATTTGCAAAATATGGGCCTAATGCAGAGAGGATGTAAGTTCTGAGCCTGGTACTTTCTGGTGCTGTAATGGTTGTTGTTTGTTGATCCATGTATGATTTGCTATGCCTTGTTTAAACTTTAAACATTTTTGGTGGGTATTACTGCTTATCAGATAGTGCACGGGCAGAGTACCATGTGCTATTTACTCATCTGGATAGCCAATTAACTGAGAAGAAAAGGTTTTCACACATTCTGAAAACATACTAAATTCTTTCAACTTGTTTGAAGTGTTTTTTGATGTCTTCTTGACAAAAAAGAAACTAAGAGATCTTGTTTTCTTGTACCTAGTTACTTGCAAATTTTCCCGTGTTTTTCAGTGTTCGTTTCTGCATTGAAAAAAGGACTTTGATTGCTATGAATAAATAATATGCTACAATACATTATGGCTCAATTATGCCTCTCCTAGATTGTAGCTAGACTTTTAGATCAACATCCATTAAGACTGGTTTCATTGCGATAGCTTTGTTGTTTTCAGCTGCATATCTACATTGAACTCCAAATGATATCTGGCATTGCTAATCTGTGTCTTACATAACTTGAGATTTGAGTTACTGTGGTTAGCAAATACTAAATTCAGTTTATTATATTTCCAGTCACAAAGGAAGGATTATTGAAACATTCCCCAAGTCTAGGCACAGGTCAAGGAGTCGCAGCCCCAGGAGAAGGTGCTGTATTTTTTTCCTTTCTGCTGTTCTTTTGGAGCATTATGCTTATAATTGTGTGCTCAGTAGCCCAGTTTAGATGTTAGTTATTGTTTCACTACTTGTATTGAAAGAGTGTGGTGTTGCTGATGTTTCATGAACTGGCTTTTCTCTCTATTTGGAAACATGGTCTAAGATTATGGGTAAACTGTGGTATGACGGGTACTAGTATGTACCCAGCTATAGAGGAAGCAAGCTTGATTTTTTTTAATTTGTTGTGGCAATAATGTCAGAATCATCTATAGAGGGGCTGTTTTTGTTATTGACATATGATAAGATGTCTATATGTCTAATATATGTGAGAATGGATTAGAGGGCAACATTGAGCATTGCTGGTTACTTTAAGTGGACTTGTTTTGTGTCTGATCATATGCTGTGACTCATGTAGACCGATTCCCCACTTCAATGAGAATTTTAATGTTCAAGCTAAAGAATGCTTAAGTGTTCACTGGAAGAATCTGGTCTTAGCATAAGCTGAGGTAATTGGAAGTATGAGACCATTCTATTGTATGCCAAGCTCTTTACTGAATTTGCGCTAGCTTGATAAATATTTGTTTCCCAAACTTGAATTTTTGCTGATGTGATTATTAGCATAAAATTGTTTTGTAGAAGACAAGTGTGTAATGATCATAGGTTTTCACTTTTGATTGCATTTCTAAAATGTAAGAACTGATGAATCTAATCTTGGCATCTTTCAAGCAATATTTCTTGAGATTAATAGTAGTGGTGGCTCAATCATTTACAGGTATCGTGATGATTACAGGGACAGGGATTATAGGAGGAGGAGTCGCAGCAGGAGTTACGATAGGTATGAAAGGGATAGGTATCGTGGAAGAGAAAGAGAATCTCGTCGCAGAAGTAGGAGCCGTAGTGCAAGTCCTGATTACTACAAGAGTCGTGGAAGGGATCGCTATGATGATGAGCGTCGTAGCCATAGCCGAAGCCGAAGCCGATCTGTGGATAGGTTTTAAGACCTTGATACTTAGCTACTTTAAATTCTAATTTTATTGAACATTGAAGTTCTGTGCCTCAAAATATTGAAGGTTTATTTTCTGACTTCTTCATGGTTGTTGCTTTTAAAACAGTCGCTCCCCTGCACGCCGCAGCCTTAGTCCTCGAAGGAGTCCTTCACCTCAAAGGAGTGCTTCCCCTCAAAGAAGTATTTCCCCAAGGAGGAGCCCAAGGGATGAAAGCCCTGAGAGTCGTAGCCGTGATGGACGATCTCCTACACCTCACAGTGTCTCACCACGTGGTCAACCCAAGGATTCGAGAAGCCCATCCCCTCGAAATTCTAATGGAGATGTATGTGACATGCTTTAAGGAAAAACTTAATTGCAATTATTAAGTGCTTGCTATTAAGTTCTTCAATAGTATTGTGGTTTCTAGAGCCAAGGTTTTTAAATGTCTCAACAATTTGGTGTTGTGAAACACTGCTCATTTTTTATTTTGCATTAGAGCTTGATAGCAAACGCTTGAGTAACTTTGTCTTAAGCTTTGTTCTTATCTTTGTGAAAGATTATTATTGCAGTAAAAGCAAAAACTTTCTCAACTTGTTTATTTTGTTGTTTTACTGTATTATTTTTACAGGAATGAGCACCAGGTTTCTGATGAAAAAATGCGGAGGGACCTTGAGTAATGCAGTTGTAGCTGCTTTGATAATGTTGGGTCCTTTGATCGATGTTCATGATCTTGTCGGACTTCCTTGGTGTTAAAATGTTACTATATTTGGACCTAATGTGTCTTCTAGTGGTCTATCTGGTAACTATTGGACCTTGTAGTTAAATAGATTGATATTGCACTGTTGTTGAAGAGTTTTGTCATTTAGTTTGTTTCTGCTGGTGCATTTAACAATTTCTCTACTTTTACTCCCCGCTTATAGGGAAGTGTGGTCGTGATTTAGTTAAAGTTTGGTTGATAAAGTTCTTCGGAATTATAATGAACTTGTTGGGTTTTATAGTTATGTTCGGGTAAAGTGGTGGGGGCCTGATAGGCGCATGTTGGATTGTTGCTGTTGATGCTGTTTCTATGTCATTGATGGTTGGTCGTGAATTTGATGCTGGTTGCAAGAGAGTATGCTGGTTTTAGGAGTATGATTATTTTACCGATATGCTGGTTTCACGAGCAATTAGTTGACTTGATTTATACCCCAAATGATGACATGATTGGTAAGATTTTTGGTTTAGCTCCTTATTACTTCTGAAATACATCATAATCACTGAGAATTCTGATCTTTGATCTGGCAATCGTGTTTGGTCTTCACTGACAAATATAAACATCGAAAAAGGATTCTTCTTGCTGTGATGGACACGAGTTGAACCTGTAATGAGATGTAGCGGATGCCTCATAGGAGATGGACCCAGTATTCATTAATTCAGACGCAGATACTAAACAATAAGTTGTGGGTACTGAATAGTAAACCTAATATGCTGTGGTGTGGTATTTCCAATGGTAATAAATTCGTGGTTACTTTTTGGGGTGATTCACTTGATATCAGCTTCTTTAACATAGACCTTTAACAATTATAACTTCTGCTACTTAATGTAGTGAGATACGCTCGTTGTAGCAGAGATGGTGGCTGATGCATCATTTGTATGATATGCATGTGTTCGTGAGTAATTTGAAGAATTAACAAATAACTGCATGCAGCTGGCTGTTGCTGCCCTTTTGGCCGGGGTCGGGGTTGGCAATGATATTAGCAGTTGGTTCTGATGATGGCTGTCCAGCTGGTTTCTGTTGATTGCAGAGCCTCCTGAAATAAATCTTTTACGTTGAACTGGTGATTGGTTTTGTAGGCTTTTCTCAATCCTTTTTTCTTGGATTATGGCTCTGGCATGTTTATTTTCTCTGTGGTCCTCTTTTGCATAGTCCTTGTTTCTGACCACGATCATTACGTTGTGGGATGATAATGACCTGCAACTGGAGGCTACAAATAATGGTTTTCTTGGGTATTTGATCATTCATTTATAAATATACCTGTAGAGGCATAAGCAAAACGTCAGGTAGAAATACATTTTGACTTCTTGATTGCGGATTAGCTGGATCTTTGTTTTATTGGGATAAATGAGAAAGTAGATGCAAAATGATTTTCATATCTGTTTTTTTCTCCATCTGAATTAGTTGAACCATCAAATTTTGTATTGTATATGCCCATCTATGTTCAATATTTTTGAATGAATGCACGTGATTCTCTAGACTTCTTTCCTACTTATTTGTCGGATTTTTGTTATGTTTTTAGAAAAAGAATTTAATTGTTTGTATTTTATGCTGGATAGGCTTGGTTGCATGAATTGATTTTGTTGCATTTTTAGCCTAGTTGCTTTCTTGTGATTTGTTGATATTCTCAAGATTTGGATGATAGAAGCTATTAATAATCACTAATTGCTTGTTAATAGAAATTTTCTATTCCTTAATTTGAGAAACGTGTGCCTTATCTGGTAACTAGAACGTGTCCATGCACCAGTTTTGTACCAGTCATGGCCGGTGACTAAGTTTCCCTGCACATACCCCTTATTGAACCCATTTTAATATTTCAGTCATGGATTTCAAGGTCCTTTTTCAATATCATATTCTCTGCACCCTTTTTAGCGCATCATGGTTTAAATAAATACATAAGGGAGATTATCTGCATTTGAGTGCAACAGATTAGGGGCTTTGCAGGCTGTTAAGGATGCTGCGAAATCTGTATTTTGTGTGCTAAAACTATGATCATGATTGTGATTATTTATATTACCAAGTATTCTGGTGTTTTTCTCTTCAAGTAGTTGGGAGAGGATTTGGACTAAGATTTGAGGTGGAAAGGGTATTGATGTAGTCCAGTTCTGGGTATGATCTATATTTGGATAACTCCTGCATGAGGCTAAGCAAAGAAAACCGACATGCCAAACAGAACAGATCAATGTTACTCGCAAACATGAGTGAGTCCCAGCACACAAGACTAAATTTGCTCCGTCCCGACATCACAGCTTCAAGAACATGCCCCTATCCAACATTTCTGCTAAACCCAAATCCGGTGACCGCACTATCTCCAGCCCTCCAGTACCTTCTGTGCACTGTTTTTCTTCTAATTTGAAAATTGTTGAGCATAATGTATGTTTATGTCATCTTTTTAACTCTGTTGATTTCTGCGAAGAAAACTGATCCATGAGATGGGCAAAACGTTTCCTGGTTAATTTGGTCATTTTACTCCTTTATTTATAGTTGATTTGTTTTTCCTTCTTTTTTTTATGCCTACCAAAACTTTATTTGATTTTTTCCAGATATCTAATTTTTTTCCAACTCTTTGTAATCTTGTAATTTTTTGGGTTCTCCATTTTTTGTTCCCAACTTGTAGAACTTTTCAGATGTTTTATAATATTCCTTCGCTTGTTACTTTAGTCCTTTTTAGACATCACACCTCTCTCTTCATACTTATAATACCTTTCTCTATTTTTGGTGTTATTGCACAAATATATGATTTTAAAACGCATATATATATATATATATATATTTGATTTTTCTTGTACGTTTTCATTCCACCATCAAGGATTTTATTTCTTGATCTAAAACCTTGCGATGCTCTTAAAAATGTTTGGAACCTTGTCTTTTTAGTCATTTCTTATAAGATGATGGCACTTTCTTGAGACTCAATTCTTTTCATCAAACGATTCCTCTTGGAGGTTTTCCACTAGTTACTTTTTAGCTGCCACTACCTTTTGAGTTTAAAACTTGTCCAATGCTTTTGATTTTAACTTTTAATGCGCATATCAAGGATAAGGAATTCTTTGTTGTTATGCCATTTTTGGGGATCGTTTTTTAATTTTTATGAAGCTTTCTATCTGTTTCGTACGTTAAAGAAGTCAATCTGAGTTTTGTGATCTCGATGCTCTATTTTCTTAAGTGATTAGATTTTCGTTTCTATTCTTAATGTTGACAATTTTGAGATCTTTACACGATTACCTGCCTCCTGAGCACCATGATCATTAAGGTTTTTATTTTAAATTAAAAAATTTCTCATCTTGTGATGTACTTTGAACCGGTCCCCCAAGTTTTTCCAAAGAAATTTCTCGAGAGTACTTCTATCTCTGCTTGTATAAGATAGCATCATATCCAACAATCATTCTTTAGGACATTATTATGCCCTCAATCTTTCTGACTTTGCAATCTTCCTCCAAATCTCATCAACAATGATGCCACCCGCGTCAGGAATTTACTTTTATGCGGAAGTTTGAAATTTCCATGTTCTTTCGCCAATCCGTTTAGTTTCTTGAAGGGGCGATAATTTTTTAATGTTTCATAGCTCATCACTTTCATAAATTTGCCATGCTAGGTCCGAATATTCTAAGCATCGAATATGATCTTGTTCTTATAGACTATTTTCTTTCCCTGTATCCGTTCATGATAATGTGACAATTCTTGCTCATTTAACATTATATTTGTTTTGCTCAAAAATTAAAAAAAACGTTACATTCAAGCCAAACAGTGCATTTCTTGAGGGCGACAACATAATATTAACAAATATCTGTTTGTCTGCATAAATGTGAAATTCAACACAATTTTATGCTGATTGTAGAGCACTTCTTACAACTTTCATCCTTTATCTAGGTTAAGATTATTAAAATATGAAAGTGAGTCACACATTTAAAAATTAAAAGATAAATTATAAATATATAAATTTATGAAGTATTTTATGTTTTTTTTTTTTTGCTTGGACATATGTTATTTTGGGTTTTAGAGGCCTCAAGTCTATTTAAATATGTAAATCCATTTAAGAAAGTACAAGTCTAGCTTAAGCTATTTTGGTTAGATATTTTTTAAATTTATAGATTTATAATTTATTTTTTAATTTTTACATGTGTTACCTTCTTATGTTCTAATAAGGATCAGCTGTAAAACTTAGATGGACATATTTGATTTATTAATGATAACCATATAAATGATGCATTATCCTTTTCAGTTCCAACATTAATAAAAATTAAGAGCCAAGCAACTCATTTCAAGTGCGTATCTCCCTCTCGATCTCCTCAACCTTCTCATCAAGGAAAACTATTCATGCAATAATCACTTGTCTGACAATAAGATCCACATTGCTTCAGGATATGTGCTTCATAGACCAGTTTAATGTAAAAATCCCACTCCAAAAAAAGATGGGCTGAATCGATTTTAACCAGTCTTGCTACTGAAAGCTAAGTCTAGAATTTATGTCAAAACAAGCATAATACGATCAATGTCTTATATGGTGTTCCTCAAAACCGTCTTTTATATATATATATATAAAACTACCACTTGTTTTGTTTTTATTTAGAAACAAAATTATATATCTCAATAAGCATTTATTACAATTTTCGTAAATTACCTTTATAAACTCATAATTTTTATTCACAATGAACAATTAATGCAACATTATTTTGATTAAATACAAGGATATTTTAATCCATTTTTTTTATATTTCCAGGTACAACTATCATCCTTAACTGATTCTCTTAACATCTGTGATGCAGTTATTTTGTCTTATATATTAGATAGGTATAGTTGATAGCCTAGTTCCATCTAAATCCCTAGCTTTGTAGGCTGATCCACTTTCAGAAAAAAAAACTTCGTTCCACTTTTCAAGCGAAACTAAGTTCATAACCACCAAGGGAGATCACTGACTAGCTCAACTTAGAAGAGGACAGTATCATATTCCTCCATATCAGCACAGAATAATTTTTCTTGATCAAATATAAAGGTTAAAATTCACTTGATGCATGCTGTGACAGCCAGATATCAATTTATACATGCTCAAAAAAAAAAAAAATGAATTCTATTTTTTAAAAGTAAAATTCTTAACACAACGAATCAATATAATGAAATCATCATTAGAATCGTACAAGATTCTAATCGTGACAAGCGTCAATCGAATGACTAAGAATCTGCAGAATTGCAAATGGTTCAAATGTCAAAACGGGGAACATTTCATTGCCCTAAACTCCCAAGTGAACATTTCAATGTAAAAGAAATACAACAACAATGTAACATAACAGAAAATTTCAAGAGTTTCTACATATATATAAGCATTACAACTGTAGCTTCAGAAACAAGAAGAAACTCTTCATAATATGTGCCAAGAAGACCAAGTTAGTGCTTCTTTGTCTGTACATGTCCCTACTGATGCCCAATGACCCCATGAGTACGTGTAATGGTCTTATACATATTCCACAGGAAAAGGAACCCCTGAACTCACACGGATGCAGCCTTTTTAACTTCATCATATGTACCATTCTCCTCATTGAACGAGTACCTAAATTTAAACAGAAAGAAAATTGTCGGTGATAATTATAATTGAAAAATTACTATTAGCGATAACACAGGAACTCTAGTTTGATTAGATATAGTTGTTTTAGACAGACCATATCTTATGTAACAGGCTTAATTTATTGATAAGAAGCAAATTCCCTTCATAATAAGTTTTTTTTTTTAAATATCTTTTATGGTCTAGCAAATAACTGATGGTTCTTTCAAGATCAAGTAACAACACGTCACTTCAATATTATTCCAGCAAGGATTATTTCTATCACATCTACACAGATAGAATAGAATAGAATAGAATAAAAGAAAAGAAATTGTAATTTTTGTGAATTAAAAGCCGCGTCTTGCCCCTCAAGAGAAATTAAAGAGGTCATTTTCTTTGGATGATAAAATTAAGGAGATCAGCAATATCAGGACAAAAGGTAAGACTACAAAAAAAAAAAAAAAAAAAACACACACACACACACTAGGAGGAATGCACAATACCATTGCCCAGATTCTGCAGAGCAATAGAGTCCTGTATTTGGGTCATAATAATAGCCCAAACTGCTGCTGTAATAGTACCTGGCCCATCAAATAAATTGATGTTAGATCAAGCTTTCAACACAACATAATGTACTTCTTTTTGAACAGTTCATTCAAACTGACTACCTTCGGATAATCATTTTCTATTTATATCAAAGTCAAGAACAAGCCCCCATTCAACCCCAAAAGAATGTAAAAAAGGTGATCACATGCTTAAAATTTCCTAACAAGAATGATAATAGAAGACTGATTACTTGCGCAGAGAAATTGTCTTGTTTACTCTCAATGCACATGGATGATAAAATAATTAAAGTAGCAGTACCAAAGGCCAGATCTGATGAATCCTAACAAGGTTCATGTGAACACTTCTTCCTTTCCTTTCAAATAAAAGATGACTGCTTTGTTATCAGGGAAAATGACAGTTATAGGTCCCAAAAATATGAATTAATGACAGTCAAGTTCTCGACAAATTTTTTTGAAAAATCAGTTAAAAATATCAATCTAGATAATTACAAATCCAGAAGTTTCAATTGTAAATAAGTATTTAAATATCAAATGTAACTCTTAGATTGAAATAGAAATTTTTGTCTATAGCTGTGTGAATTGATATTTGCAATTCATTTTGTAGAAAATTTTGTTGGAGATTTAACTGTCATTAATTCAATGTTTTGGGATCTAACTATCATTCTCCCTTGTTATCACTTGTCAAATCATTTCAAAAAATATTTGAGGGCAGAGAACTTAAGTGTCATACCCAGAAGACTCATCATACACATAATCATTTTGCAATGCTCCACCTGAGAAAGCAAATGTAAAATCATGTCAAGCAAATAATTATTCATATAAAAAGCAACCACAAGTGATTTCCATTTCAGATGACATTTCTGGGAACAATTTGAAAAATGTTACCATCAGAATTAGAATTTGGGGTGTCTGATGATGTTTGAACAGGAGCATTGTTTTCTTCTGCAGATGGTTTTGCAGTATCATCATCTTCGGCAAACATATCATACTCATCTGCACCATTGCCAGTGGCTTCCGTAGTGGAGACATTTGGATTGGAAGGACCAAGGGAGGTACTGGGAAATGTTGCCGAGACCAGACCAGAGTCCATGCCATCAGAGAACAGGTCTCTATCGCCATTCAAATTAGAATTCCCCTCACCAGAATGAGATGATGTGCCGTCTCCTCTTGCCAGGGCCAGCTTCTCATATCCTTCTGAAAGAGGGAGATTACAAAAGGATTACGCAAGTGAAGCTACAATGGAAACAACTTCTCTTCTTGATGCTCATAAATTATATGTATCATATCTAAAGGTTTGAGGGTTTCCCTTTCAAGTGAAGAATTAGATTCTAAGCACAACAAAGATACTGACTTCGAGTTCCAAGAATTGCAAGGATGGTGATCATGAGATGCAAATCCTATCATTATGTCCATGACAAAAGCATAATATACAAGAAGCGTATCTGAACAGTCTACAACTAAGCCAAATAAAGAAATATGACGGTGTATTTATGTGCAGTAGTAGATTCTACAGCAAAAAATGGAGAGTAGTTATTCTTGCGACACTGAACGGCTGCTTCTTTGTGGAATAACATGTTAAGGATCCACCAATCTTTAGCGTCGCAATAATAGTTGGGTGCAAATAAAGGCTTTAGGAAGTTCTCTATATCTGGTTCAAAGGCTTTAGAATGACAAAAGAGGAAGAATTTTTGTGGCAATGCACAATTTGCAGAATCATGAAATATCTAGTTGGAACTGAATGCTTGCATTTTTAAAGTTGTCTTCATGTCGTTAGATGCATAATGGGCTAGTATAATGTTTGTCGCTTCTCTTTGGAGTTCCATGTTCAGGTCAGGAATCTTCCAAGGAAGTGCCTTCAGATACGCAGAGGAACTGGGCAGGTTTTTCTGCATATTCAGATTTTTAATTTTCTTTTACTTTTGGTTGATTCCCTATCCCAATCCCTTCGCAATGCTCTTCCTTATTAATAATTTCTTTGTTCACCATTAATGATGATGATGATGATGATACAACACTGGTGTGGAACACGACCCATGAGATGAAACAATAGGTCCAACAAAAACAAAATAGAGGCATTCTTGATATAACAATTACCTGCTTCACGCTGAAAAACCTCTTGCTTTTCATGATAGACATCTGCAGAAAAAAAAATATAGCAACCAAAAATTAAACTTTGTGTAACAAAACATGCCCAGTGAAGAAACTGATGAGAAAATCTGAAAATCTGCATGACATAAAGGATCTCTAAGTGAAATAATGATAAACTGTTCTAGCCATCCCTAGGATTTAAAACGAGAACTCAACTGTATTCACCATTCTCCATCAGTTTCATAGCATCTTCTGTCAGCTGGTCAAATATAACCTTACTCTGAGGTGACATTTTTGCCTTTCTGTCATTATTACCTTTTAGCCTTCTCAAAGCTTGTAACACCTGTTGGTAGAAGAATAAGCTCATAACAAACTAAACCAGAAATAAACAGCAAGAAAGATGGAAAAAAACTGGGTCTGAAATTACAATTACCGAATAACTAAATCACAGATTACAAGAGAAATGATGGGCCCAAAACAAACCAATGTCCCTCACACCCAGATAAAGAAATTACAATCAAAATACCACAGCTACAGCCTGCATATAACAAGAAGCAAACCAAGACACAAGAAACAGTAACTGGACTTTCAAGAGGCCAGAACTCTCTCAAAACACTTTCCTCTCCAAAAGACCAAATTCCCCTCTCTCAGGCCAAAATGGAGAATTTAAAACTAAAAAAAGTAGTCATTACCCCTACCAACATTGGTTACACTCCATTTGACTATTCACCCCTTCTTTACCTCTTTGGCGAGGATCCTCAGTGTAACCTTCTTGACTGCTGGTGTTTCCCCTTTTACATGATTTCCATTCCTTAATCTTCCACTACAGGTCCTAGGAAAAGATTTGTAAATCTTCTGTGAATCTCCAGCTCTATTAGACACCCACAGACTACATATCGAATTGATGAGTGAGGGAGGGAGGGAGGGAGGGGTGTGTGTGTGTTTCTGCTCAAGCAAAGTGATCCAAAATTGCCAGAATCAAGAGAACAAAGACTGACACATAAACACACAAACAGACACGATCATAAATGTAAAAGACATTAATGAGAAGAGTACAGAAAATTATAAAGCAGAGGATAAGAGATTCTCCAAACAAAAGAAAACCCACACTAGACTAACACCCATAGACTACTGATCAAAGTATACGCATCATCTATAAATAAATATTATTTCCACCCAAGCACAATGTCTAAAATTTCTTCTTTCAACCCAAAGTTTACCCTATCGTAAGCTTTCTCAAAATCCAACCCCTAAACCAGCCTTTCTTCTTTCCAAATGTGATACTCTGATTACTCCCCACTATCATTTGCTATCAACCCAGCATCAAAGATTTGCCTTCTATGCCATTTTGGGTGTTAGAGATGGTATCCCCAAGAATCTCCATCAACCTCAAGAAATGGACCTTAGTGAAACACTACACATCAAGTTAATAGGTCTAAAATACCACCTTATCCTTCTAAGAGACAAGAGTGACACTACTAGGATCCAACCACATGGAAAAAAATGAATCATAACTTTCAGCAGGTCCTCGATCAAGGCAGACAGCAAGCTTTAAAAAGAAAAGGAGGAGACCATAGGGACCAGAAGCCATGTCCTCCATCCATATTCTAAATCACACATCAGGCACCATCATCTGCACCCCCCCCCCCAAAAGGAGGGAAAAAAATCCTCCTCTTAGTAGGTCCTCTTCAGGATTGTACTAAGCTCTGGTATAAGATCCCAATCTAGCCCATCAAGCTCATTCCTGGACAACCTCTGTCCGTACTAGCATCAAAGAACAACCCTTTTTCAATCCTAGTGTCTTGAATTCCAGAAACATTGCTTTTCCAAATTATCAATTTCTCTTTCACAAATTTCAGCTTCTTCATGAACTTTTAACCTTCACATCCTGTGACAGAACACTCTTCACACCTAGATTCAACTTGATTAGAAAAAAGAGTGATGTTGAAGCAAACCAGGAAAAGGTCATATGAACTCTGACATATCTTTTTCAATGGAAATGGAAATGGAAATGGACCCCTGCCTGCATTTAACTTACCAGGGCAGAACCCTTGTTTCCCTTTTATTTTGAAGATTAAGTTAAAATATTGAGGACTATCAAGTATTCTTCCCTTGACAAAGAACAACAGGGCTGCATAAACATGGAGGAGAGTTAACAATTAGCCTCAATTTCCATAGTTTCTTGCTATCTTTACTTTTTCTTGTGTTTTATGAAGCCGAAGCATATAAACTCCCTTAAAAGTAAATTGACAACTTCATGGCCTTATTAACAAATCATTTTTTTATAAAATAGAAAACCTGACCTACATAGAGAATGTTCACCAAAACTATTTTTCATTATACAACAATGCAATAACAGGGAAAGGATATCAAACTGAAAAAGAACTAATTATGATTTAAGAAAGAAAAAGCTAGGCTTACTGTTTCTCCTGGCTCAAGTGCATTGGCAATGCGCCTCTTCATGACTCCAATGTCCTTAGAAGAAAGGTCTTCAATCTCTTCTTCATCATTTGTTACCGCAGAGTTTAATGCAGAATATTTAGGATCAACTTCAACATTATCAAGCCATGCATCCTGAACATATCATTAGCAATCAGAATCAAGTTACAAGTGCCAAAAGAAGGGGGCAAAAAAGAAACTCACCTTAATCTCATCATCTCTGACGTATTCAACAAAATTTCCATCTGCATCAAAATAACCTTCTTCCCTCTCTTTATTTAGGTTGAAAGGTTCTATTTGAATCCCATCATCAACAAAATTTTCATTATCCTACCAAAAGATATCAGCCATCATTGCTTATCCTTTCCATAACTTTATAACAGATGAAACTGCCAACGTCCATGAAAATTGGTGCCAATCAAGGAAAAATCATTCCACATTCAAAGAGATAACAAAACGATAATCTCCATCTTGAAGCTTATGACTGAGTTTCTAAAATTCAAGCAATCAAAATCCATCAAGAGAATAAACAACAAGTGTTAGTCCAAAGTATTGTAAACAGTAAAAATAAAATTGCAAGCCAACTAGACTGAACATGCTAGCAAGCTAGACACAATAAATTGTTAATAATTCCATTAACCAACAATAACCAACAATCACTTGATTAAGTTATCAACACCTATAGAAAAGAGGCAGTCGTATCATCCATAGAAGCTACAAAGTTGCATAAATCTTCCCCTTATATAATCAGTTGGCGACTTATGCCTGACACAAATGCATATAATTGAAGTTTGATAACCATGAAAATATTTATTTATTGCTAACTTGTGCTTTAAGCTTAATCATCCAAAATCTTGTTTTTATGAAACAGCACAAAATCCAAACACTGAACAAACTAAGATGGTCTACGCTTAAAGCATTGACTCCAAATGCAGAACATGAAATTACTAGATAAAACACAAATGATTACACAGTTAACACTATTACCAGTTTAAATATAACAACATGAAGCAACAATCAGCCCAGGCGTATTCCACCAAATCAAGGCTTCAGTGGTATAATCAGATAAACATTGTATCTCAAGCTTGTGAGAAAAGGCAACAATGATCAAACCCCCATTTTTGACAAGGGTTATGTGAATAATATCAAGAACCAATGCTTCCCTCTATATGCAACCTGCTCACCAGATGTCAACATACCTAGCGAAACATAGATATAAGGGAGAATACAGCTCTGCCAACATGGACCACCGAAAGAGGTTGTCACAATACATAAAGTAATGAATTGTTTGTTCTGTTCATGCTTATGGAGAAAAATTGTGTCAATGCAGCCAGCCTAATTAAAATTTATTGTCATCAACGAAGTCAAGATAAAATAAAATCATCAATTGATCCCCAAATAAAAAAACAGTTGAAACAAACCTCATATTTCACGTCAGCAGCCGAGATGTCGGTTGCTATACCTCTACTATCCTCGCTGAGGAGTTCAGTAGTCATTTGACTCCTGCGTTTTGCCCGCTCTTTAGCTGCATGGCGGGGATTCATCATGTCATTTGTGTCCTCCTCAACCGGTCCACTGTCCACCACTGCTTCATCCCTGGCCTCACCTTCTTGCCCTTCGGAAACCTAACCCTTTTTTCCTGCATAAATAATGCATACAAAAATCTACTCAATCGAAGTAAGAGTAACACAAATTTTTCATATAAGCATCATTAAATTTAGTTCCCCAGCTCATAGCAAATTCTAAA